AGCAATGGTCCGATAAACATGGTCATGCACCCCTCGTTCAGAGCGGGCAATTCTGAAATCTCCCATAACATTTTAACACCTCTTTGCAGAAACTACTTCGCAGCCAATCACGCCTCATCAAGTCAACGCAACACACACCTCCAATCATACATCGGAAGAATCATCAAAGACAGGGCACTAGAAGCCTGAAACCAATTTCGCACGGGCAATCCAATCCCAGACTAGGGTGTGTTTTAGAGGTTTTTTATGCCAGATAGCCAATACGAGAACGCTAGTTTGAAGAGGGGTGGTACATTTCATTCCTTCAACAGCACTGCTCAGCTGAACCACATTGCCATCAAAGATAAACTGTTCCAAGTACGTAACAACCTCAGAAATGGAAGTACACTCCTGCCGCTGGGACCAGAGGTCCAAAAGCATGCAACAGCTACTGAGATGCACGACTTCCCAGAAGCACCGAGCACACCACACGATGTGCGGTGGAAGACACAGATAACCAGCAAACATAACCAAGGATTCCTTAACCAACCAGCACCTATGTGTCTCAAAAGCACATTGGGCAAGTTAATCTAGAAAGGCTCTGTTTACCTATCAGCAATCGGTGATTGGTTCCTGATCAGAATATTGAGCCCACTAATCTGTTAGGTTGCAGACGACAATATACTAGCCGATTCCGTTGAGAAGGCCGAGCAAGCATGTCAACACCACTGTCACTACTTGTCATCTGCAACACCATCTGTGAGGCTTAGTCAATCTGACTCAATCATACGTCACATGCAGAGAATACCAAATCCCTGACAAATTACATCCGCATCAAGAGAGCTATACTGACCCTGCAGCAATCACTGCTCATAAGCTGCTGCCTACATGAATTAGTCAGAGAAAGTCATTGAGAGAGAGGATCATGCCATACTTACTGGGCCCCCCTACACCATTTCCCCTGGATTTCAGCGCTTACCAGCCGTAAACATCCGTCTAACCAAAAAGGCAATTAATCCGAGAGACTTGGCTGTCCTCGAAATAGAAAGACCCGTTAAGACAGTCAATTCCAAAGCCAGCCAGCCTGCCTGACTGCCTGCCTGCCTGCTTGCTCCCCTGTGTGTCTGTAGTGATCTTCATAGCCAGTCGGATAACCCCATCCATCTTCACACGACGGGAGTTCGCTGCACCACGCGATATATAGTGGTTTCATTTGAAATCCTAACTGCTTACCTTGCTGCAGTTATTTATGCTAGACTGTTCAATGACCTTAATTAATGGCTTGGTCAATCACTTTTAACGAGGTCCACAGGGCAGCTGGATTTCAGCACATTTCTTGATCACCTCCCTGTATTGTAGGACCCCAAGCCAACTACTCAAAAAAGCCTACGCCCCAATGCAGACATCTTCTGAGCCACTACTAACACCAATTTGACAATTCAACAAGTTGTGTGCACACTGTGGGGTGCAGGCGTCTGGGTTGCCACCACGTATGTCCCGTATTACTCATGTGGTGAAAAGGATGGGGGGAAATTGGACGGCCGGTCCATCAGCAATGGATGATGTCCTGGTCATGTGTCGTATGGTTGACCGAATTCTACACCATTGACAAGACAAGAAAGACCGCTTAATAGCAGATCAAGAAAATGGCAAGGCAATGCGTCAGTGATTTCCCGAGAGAGGTGACCAGATGGTGAGTTAAGAGAATACAGCTATATGCCAGAGAACACAAAACCTGTCAAGCAGAACGAACAAAAGGACATCACAACATTCGGAAACACATACAGAAAAGACATGCCGACGCCAACCTGCTTGAAGCGGCCGCCCATTTCGACTTGAACGCTTCTGAAAAAGATGAAAACTCATGGAAATCCCACTGGGAACTAGACGACTGAGGAGGGGGCGAAGTTTGCCGAGGCTGTGTCTGTTGCTGCAGTTGAGTTTGAAGCACCTGTTGTTGATGGCGCTGAGAGTGGTGGTGGTTGTGGTTTTGAGGACGTCGGTCCTCATTGGTGTCAATGGTTCGATGGGAGTGGTGGTTACGGTGGTGGGACTGGTGGTGGTGGTGAGGGTGGCCATTCGATTGCTGATTTCCGTTGGCGGTTTGGCCCTGCTGTTCCGCAGCACTCCGCAGCCTGCACACCACAGCCGCGCACAGGCACCACACAACGAAGACCATCACTCGGACGCTGCTCAAATCAGACTGCTTGCTTAGCATTACATGAAGAATGCACCAGGGAGCATAGTAAAGCTTATACACAACCAGAAAGTGAAACCCCCCATACGCTGACAGTAACAACTGTTTACGACTAGGAAACCTTCTGCATTACATAGACAAAAGCCGGCGCATGAACCTAAAAACTGACTCTACAACTAATACGAGGAGCTATATTCCAATATAATCATATCCATAACCATGATTTCTGCACTTATATATCACATTTCAGACCCCCAAGGCCGCTCAACATTGCTCATTCATCACCTTACTGACCAAGCCCTTCTAGCTCTCCACGCAGCTGCAGGGCAAGTCTCCACCCATATGTCATTGCAGGCCCATATAGTCAATTCAGAGCATTGCGGCTTTGCAGCCTTTGAAGTTTGTAAAATGTGCCACTAGGAAGACCTGGAAGCAAATGCCACTTCTACAGAGTCTGCATGCTACTCTTATCCCACACAGCTGCAGCGCAAGTCTCCCCCCAATCTCACTGAAGGCCCATATCGTCAATTCGCAGCATTGCAGCTTTTGCAGCCTTTGAAGTTTATAAAAAGTGCTGCTAGGAAGACCTGGAAGCAAATGCTTCTACCACAGAATCTGTATGCTACTCTTATCCCTGCCTGACACTCGACACTTCAATACGCTACAGTGAAACTCTGCCTGAAGTGCAGAGCGGTCGTAACAATTCCGTGCATCACGGTTCATCTGCATATGGCTGGAAAGTGCATCACGGTTGATCTGCGACAGGACGTCAGAATGTTTGGATCCCCAAACCCCCCCCACGACCAAGCTTCCATCTGATCAGGTCCTTCGCCAACCAGGCGCAGCCAAAGTTTCTAAACCAACTGCATTTGTTTGACAGATTTCATGTTGAAAGCAGGGGCCTGAAGCTGACTTTTCAAGTCATTTCTCCCATTCATCTACAGGCCTTGCTAGAGGCTTGCTTTCACGAAACTGTTTGGGACAAATTTCACTTTTCAAAACTGCGAAAACATCAGTCTAAACTAGTTCAACAAAACATTTTATTACTGAAAGATTGGGAACAACTGATATGGCAAATTCTAGTTGGTTGATAATAGGAAAGGTGCACCAAGACCAAGGCAAAGGGCGACATGAAGAAACACAAGGAGATATTACTATCAGTACTGTAGGCAACAGAGGCGTTGCCAACCGATATTCAATAGCAAAAGAAGGGAAAAGAAGGAAGGAGCAGGAGAAGAACCAGAAGGAAGCCACAGACACTGGAATAATATGCAACTCTCTCTCTCTCTCTCTCTCTCTCTCTCTACAGACACACACACACACACACACACACACACACACACACACACGTGCCCCACAGACACTGATGAGCACCTGATCAGAAGTTCCGACAGGGTGACCAGCTGCTGGGCAGCTGAATGGTTGTCCGAAGTGTAATCTTGCCTGGTATATAATGTGGAGTGCAAACACAACTGCAATTTGCAACCAAGGCAATGCCAATCCAGGAATGACCATCCCCATCACCTCTCTCTCTCTCTCCGCATGTGCACACGTGTCTATTTACCTTTCATGTACAAGCATGACAGAGTAATCCAAGGGAATGCACCAAATCAGCATGTGCACGGGATGTCATGAAGACAAAAGCTCAAAGATCGATGGGAAACTGACCTGGGAAAAACATCAACAAGGCTGCTCCCTACCGACAACAAACCACCTCCACCAGCGCCACCTCCTGCAGCAGCAGTGGCATTCACAGAGTTGCCCACATCTGTCCCTGATCGCAAATTAGGTCTGGCAGTCCCAGTCACAGGAGCATGTATTGTTTGATTTGGAGAACTCCCGGCACTGTTGCTTCCCGCAGGGCTATGCGAGCTACCTGAAGCCAATCCAAAAACCCTGCTCACTCCCTCACTCATTGAGCCAAACGCACCACTTGCACCAACCACAAGTGATGACGGCTGCGAGTTGTTGCTGCTACCCCCTCCCCCACTGCCATTACTGCTAATGCTGCTGCTGCTGCTCGTATTACCACTGCTCAAACCTGAATGTGTGTTGCTTGGGGTGCCATTTCCTCTTAGGATCTCCCTTCGGCTTGCCACAAATCTAGCTCGTGACATGCCTGCAGCAGCAGCTGCAAGATGATGCATAATGCGCCGCTCCAGATCAGCATCATCTGCATATCCACCAGGGAACTGGTATTCGAAATCGATACAAACAACAGCCACCTGAAGTCAGAGCTAGACAACCGAACCCAGAAGACGAAGGACAAACACTGAGCGGCAAAGTTGCAAGTCACAACCACCAGGTGCCTAGCCGTCTCCCCCCAACTCCCATTCCACAAGACAATACAGTATGCGAAGAAAAACCCAACAGAATAGATGAAAAAACAGATGACCCGTTGCCGCTTTTCCGACAAAAGAGAAAAAGAACAAGGTGGAAACCGCTAGCACAAACTACTCGCGATGCTTGTTGGACTTCACTATTCTTTTACAATTAACCACAAGAGACAGGGAGGGAAAGGCGCATGGATTGAGGGAGAGACAGAAACGGACGATGGATATCTATGCACATACTCCTGCAAACACACGTCTCCTCCCCTGTGCAATGTTCTTCCTTCCCCTACTTTCCCCAACACGCCCCACTGCCCTCCCATTTCGCCGGTTCTTTGCAACCTAACTCTCCCATCCGACCCCCTCTTCCCCTTCTTGTAACACTAGTCTCCCTACCCCACCCCCCAAATGCTTTTCCCCACCCGCTCCTCTTTCCCCCCCACTGTCCTCTACTCCCCTTTCTCCTTTCCTTCAGCTAGTGCAACACCTTTCCTGCAAGCTACTTCGCTGCACCCCCTTTTCCCATCCTTTTGCCTACTCCGGTCATTACAGTTCCGTTTGACAATGCCTCATTACCATCCTCCCTGTCCTGCAACTTGGACTACCCTCCTCTTTCCCCCACCATCCCTTCCCTCCCTTCCCATCCTCCTCTTGCCCTCTATTTTCCCATCATCCCCCTCCCCCTCCTGCAACTCTCTCTCTCTCTCTCTCTCTCTCTCTCTCTGCACAGAGAAAAACACATGCTTTTTCCTATCTTCCCCTCTCTCTCTCACTCACCTGCATAAGCATTGGAGGAAGGTGAGTGCAGGGAGGCTGTACAGGGAGGACGTAACCCACCGGTTGCAGACAGCCATTGGTGTGTGGGTATGGAGACGGTTGTGCAGGGTGGCTGGGAATCCTGGGGGGGAAAGTGACAAAGTAGATGCCGCACGCATGCACTTGGGAGGCTCACATGGCACAGCTTCCGAAGCTGGGGGAGGCAGCAAGCAGCAGTAGTTGACAGAGATTGTTGTGGGCGGTGTGCTGAATGTGCACTTGGAAGGCTCACATGGCACCACTTTCAGAGCTGAGGGAGGCAGCAAGTGGCAGTAGTTGGCAGCGATTGCTATGGGCAGCGTGCTGAGTTGGGAATGACTGAGTTGTGTGCAGAATTGGAGGATACCCCCAAAGTTGGGAGAGGTGGCTTTCTGACGTTCAAGTTGGGCGAGAGAGAGAGAGAGGCAGCAGTCTTGTCTCTCTCACACACTCTCTCTACAGAGAGAGCAAGAGAGCAGAGCGCTATCCAATCTACAGAGAGAGCAAGAGAGCAGAGCGCTATCCAACAAAGCGACGACAGTTGGGGAGAAACTACAGCATACCGTGACAAACTCTGGGTTGCTCAAAATGGGTCACATGCACATCTGACTTTTGAGAGGACTGGCTACCCCACTATGGCCACTCCCACTACAGCTACGCAGACGATCTGGGCTGTGCAGCAGCAGACGGCCCACCGCCTGCGCTTGCAAAAGCACCGATGTGTGAAATATAAATATAATATCCAGGCCACTTTCCGGCAGCGCCACCTGCCAAGTCACGGAACAAGATCCATTGCCCATAACAAACTTGTAAGTCAGGCACCATCCTCTCTCTCGTATGTTACCACCTCCTAATTGTTTTCATTGTCCCCATCCCCGCCTCTTGCACTGTCCTTGTCATCCAGTGCTGCATAGAACACTCAAACTGAGCATATCCCTCCTCCCTCCACTCCCCCCCCC